TGTTTGAGTCTTCTTAGTGAAGCCAAACAAGTTAGTGGAGGTTAAATCCTTGGGGAGGAGCCTCGAGGTACTGGAGTAGGGAGTTCCCGAACCAGTATAAAATCGATTGTGTCGTATTTTTCTCTTTCATTCTTTTCTTGCTCCTTTTCCGCTACTACTTTGCGCCTAAATTTTTTAGTAGTTTTTTAGTTTGCGAAAAACTTTCAAACACCTAATTCACCCCCCTCTTAGGGTGTAACGGACTTTCAATTGGTATCAGAGCAGGAAGTTTAATCCTTTCAAAATCATCTTTCAATTCTTTTTACGACATATGGATTCAAATGTGTGGATGTTGAAACCTCCACCATTTGGAGCAGCCTATATTCTCACGAACTTCTTTTGAGAAAAATCAAGGAAGAAGAACAGGTTCCCATTGTGAAGAAGACCATGGCACTCAAGGTTGATGACCACCCGGAAAGCGAGGGAGAAAGTGACGAGAAACTTTCCATGTCCAAAAGATACAAGAAGTTCATGAAATGGAATAAGGGCGAATCCTCAAAGAGATTTCCACCAAAGAAAGGTAAATCTAATCAAATAACTTGTTACGAATGTGGAAATGTAGGACATATTAAACCAGAATGCCCAAAGCTCAAAAAGAAGGAAGAGGTTAAAAAGGGGAAGAAGAATGCATTGAATATCACTTGGGATGATTTAAATTCGGACGAAAGTGATATTGACCAAAGCCAAGAAGAAAACGCAAATGGTTGCTTCATGGCCTCAAACGATGAAGAAGAGGTTAGTTCCCAAAACTCATTCACTTATTTTGAAAGTGAATTTACTTTTGATGAGTTAAAGCAAGCATTTGATGAATGCCAAGAGGACCTTTTTCGAACCATTAGGGAGAAAAAGGAACTCAAAGTGGCTCTTGAAACTTCTCGAAATGAAAAAAAAGATTTAAAACTTAATCTTGAGAAACTTCAAAACCAAAATGAAGAATTTCAAAAGAAAATTGAAATTTTAATTAAAGAAAAGGACAAGGCCAAACGAGTGGCTTTGGAAATGTTTTATGATAGCTATAGCTCAATGAAGATATAGGATAACCAACCAAACTAACGAAAGAAGGTATTGGTTATGGTGCACCCACATATTTGATGAGCATAGCTAAAAACCATTTTAATACATCAAAAACTACCCAATCAAACAAAGCCTCAACTTCCAAATAAAAAATAAGAACTTGTCATTATTGCATGCAAGCTAACCATATTGTGACAAAGTGTCCTGATAAATAGTTAGTTGAAATGCATAAATTAAAATCGGTCAAGAAGGGTTCTAACCGGTCGGAATCCAAGAATATTAGATATCAAAAGAAACCCTTTTTGCAGGAAAATAAAAAAATGATGGTGGATACTATTTCTTTTATTATGATGAATAATAATAGTCCATATACCACTTCCGGAACCAACCAAGACAAAACCCATATATCGACATAGGGTATTTGTCGATTGGAACCCCAAACCTAAGTCAAAAGTAAATTCCTCTTTGACTAGGTGAAAAACACCACTTGGATTGTGGATAGTGGATGTTCAAGGCACATGATCGGAACAAGAGCGTGGTTCACAAATCTCAAGGAGAAAAGTCATGGACACGTAACTCTTGGAGACAAATCCCGGAAGAAGGTCATTGGTAAAGGTACGATAGGTATTTCAAGTGATTTTTTAATAAATGATATTTATCTTGTTGATGGCCTAAAGTTTAATTTAATTAACAGAATCCAACTTTGTGACAATGGCCACAAAATTGAGTTTAATGCAAATTCTTGCATTTTATATGGCCAAAACAAAGATGAAACCATTTTTGAGGCTAAAAGGGATGGAAACTTATACAAGTTCAATTCCAATGACTTGAGCAACTCAAAAATCACTTGTCTTACTACTTCATTTGATTTCAACATTATGGCATCGTAGACTAGGACATGATAGATATGATCTTTTGAGAAAACTTTACTCAAAAGAACTTGTTGTTGGGCTACCAAAGATGACCAACCCCCTTCTCGTTTTTGTGATGCTTGCTCTCTCGGAAACCTACATAAAGCATCATTTAAACCCATTAAAATAGTTTTAACATCAAGGCCACTTGAACTATTGCATATGGATTTATTTGGGCCCGCAGATGTTCAAAGCTTGGGTGGAGCTAGTTTTACTTTTGTCATAGTAGATGATTTTTCTCGTTATACTTTGACTATATTACTTGCCAATAAAGATGATGCTTTTAATGCGTTTGTTAAATTGTGCAAGAAAATTTAAAACGAGAAAGGTCATACTATAACCTCTATTAGGAGTGATAGAGGTGGAGAATACCGAAATACCAACTTTGAAACATATTGTGATGAACACAGTATTTCTCACAGCTTCTCGGCCCCAAGGACACCTCAACAAAATGGAGTTGTTGAAAGGAAGAATATGACGTTACAAGAGATGTCAAGGATCATGCTAAATGAACACAACTTGCCTCAATACTTTTGGGGAGAAGCAGTCAACACAACATGCTACGTTCTAAACTGGGTATTACTTAGACCTATTATAAGAAAAACCCCTTATGAACTTTGGAAGGTAGAAAACCAAACATTGCTTATTTCAAAGTGTTTGGTTGTAAATGCTATATTTTGAATACCAAGGATCACCTAGAAAATTTGAGCCTAAATCAAATGAAGGAATCTTTCTTGGATATTCAACAAATAGTAGAGCCTGTAGGGTGTATAATAAATCAAATAATAAAGTAGAAGAATCTATGCATGTAAAATTTGATGAAACCGATCCCTTCGGCTCGAGTAAGGGAATTGCAAGTTCTAATGAAGAAGACGGGGAGGAAGAATCCCTGGAAATTCCTGCACAAGAAGAAGAAAATGAAGAAAAGGAACTTCCAAAGGCATGCAAGCACTTGAAGAATCATCCAAGAGACAATATCATTGGAGATATTAAAAATGGAGTTAGAACTAGGAACAATTACAATCTTTGTGCACACTATGAGTTCATTAGCCAATTTGAACCTAATAACGTAGAAGATGCACTAAAAGATAGTGACTGGATTATATCCATGCAACTATTTATTTGCAACACTTTTTCCGACTTTGACAGAGTCAAAATTGATTTAATTGACCTTTATTCAAAAAGGTTCTCACATTCAATTCATATCATTTATTCTCATGAAGAATTCATTTCAAAATTCTCATCATAAACAAATTCTTTACTTATTCTTGTTTTGGGTCTGTACTCTGGTTTTTAATCAAGATAACATAAATAGTCAACATATTGGATTTATCTCTGTGCGATTTATCTAGATTGTGATATTGGATATCAAAACACATTTCATTTCGGTGCAAAGCCCATTAATGATTTATTTTAATCAAAACAAATTTGATTAATTGAATAATTATTCATTAATATTTTTGGGTATGTTTTGGGCGTTACAATAACCAACGTCGAAAACCAAGCATCGATAGTGGAACACCGATAACCGGGGGTTATAGTTTTTGGTTGGGAAATGACCAGGGATTTTGGAAACTTAAAACCATTTATGAAAAACATCATAAAAATGGTTTCATGATTTTGTAAAATTTATTTTCACTTTCAAGAACCAAGACTTGATTCGATTGTCAGTTTTTTATCACAATAGAACGGACTCAACTAAGTCTTCAAATCTTGATCTTGTTCTTGATTCTCTTGCGTCTTGTTCCATTCCTTTTTTCGCGACTTCAATTATTCAACAAAATTCTTCATGAAAGACATGGGTGAGTAAGAACTTCTCCATGAAAGACTTGGGTGATGCAAGCTATGCTCTTGGAATTAGGATCTATAGGGATAGATCTAGGAAGCTGATTGGCTTAAGTCAAAGTACATACATTGATAAGATTCTCAAACGATTTCACATGGAAGAGTCTAAGAGTGGGAACTTGCCATTTATCCAAGGAATTAGTCTTTTCAGGACTCAAGGACCTTACACGGAGGAAGAGGAGAAACACATGGAAAATGTTCCATATGTGTCTGCCATTAGATCGATCATGTATGCCATGATATGTACAAGACCTGACATCGCCTATGCACGTAGTATCACAAGTAGATACCAATCCAATCCTGGTGACAGTCATTGGATGGTTGTGAAGACCATCTTTAAGTACTTACGAAGAACTAAGGATGCCTTCTTAGTCTACGAATAGAAAGAGCTCAGAGTAATTGGTTATACTGATGCAAGCTTCCAGACGGACAGGGATGACTTTAAGTCATAGGCAGGCTATATATATAGACACACACACACACACACACACACACACATACATATACATACTGATGGCTATAAACCACCGAGAATATCAAATAATATAAGTTTTAGAGAGAGAATGCAAAGTAGGAGTATATAAAATTAGAATTCGGATCCATTACAATGAGGGGTGCCACCCCTTTTATAGTGGGTACAATACATTAAGTCAAAGCCCTCTGATCGAGGCTCGTCGTTTAGTGGACATCACCTGTCCCTTAGTTTTGTCCCTTTCATCCTATCGCTTTCATCAAGTCTTTGTCGCACGTCGTTTTCTTCACGTCATTGTCGCGGGGGTCGGGCTCAGCTTGGTTGGCCGAGCTGAGCAGGAGGGAAGAGCGGAGCCCTGAGCCGAGTAGAGCGGACGAGCGGAGCCCTGAGCCGAGCAGAGACGTCCAAGCCCAATACTTAGGAGATTTTATGCTGATGTCAGTCCTAGGATGACGTGGGGTTATTCGCCATCAGAAGCCCCCCACTCTCCGGGTTCCGTGGCAACTAGAAGCGGAGCGCGTGAGAGTAGAAGACATTGTGGATGGTCAGCTCACGGGCCCACGTGTAGCTTGGCGGACGGGTGGCGACGCTTGGAGTTCCCATCGAGCGGTTGTGACGCTTCGCTTCCCAAAATGGCGGCCCGTCATGACACCTATTTGGCGCATCATCACTTAGGCCCAACTTTAGTATAAATAGCCCCAAGGGTTCCTTCAATCTCACACATTCTAGAGAGAGGAAATCTTAGGGTTTGCGTCGCCACTCGTTGCTTCCCATCTCACACATTCTCCGTCGTTCCGCGCCACCGTTTGTTGCTTCCCGATTTTCTCCAGTGACGCCCATTCGAGGTCAGTCCCTCTGCCCTGCTACTTCATGTCCGTCGAGTCTTCCTCTCTTCGCGCGTCCGAAGCCGAGCACGTGCTCGGGCTCGGCAATCATGGTTCCGTGGCTCAGGACGACCGAGCAGAGCAGCTGGGTTCCCCGTCCATTGAGGAGATCGCAGCTGTCGAGGTGCCCGGGGTTACTGAGCCCCGCCTCCAGAAACGCACCTTGCTCGTGGACTCTCTCATCTGCGGGTGCAAGTGCGACTTGTCGGGTGACGAGTTTCTCAAGGCGGTGCGCTACGCCGGCCCCCTCGTGACCGTCCGTCGCCCTACCCCGGAGGAGTCGGTCTTCGACGTTCCTCCGGGCTACTTCGCCATCCACCTCAAGTCCCTTGAGAGCGGCTTCCGCTTCCCCCTAGAGTCCTTGGTGATCGACTTTTTCAAGTACTTTGAATTCCTCCCGTGCCAATTGGTACCAAACTCGCACCAGTACTTTGCGGGTTTCTTGATCCGCTGTCGGGAGATGGGCGTGCGGGCCGACCTTGAGGGCCTATTGACTCTATTCCGAGTGGCAAAGTCCTCCGGGTCGGATGGGGGCTCTTTTACCGCCCTCTGTCAGTGGCAAGAGAGACTCTTCAAGACCAAGAAAGAATCTAACAAGACTTGGAAGTCCAAGTTTGTCTTCGTCTCCGTGGGGTCAGCTTCCCCTTTCCGAGACGCGCCCCTCAGTTCTTTCCGTTGGCGATCCAAACCCTTCGCTTCCTCTAAGGCCATTGCTGACATGGACAAGTTGTGTTTGGGCGGCCCCTACGAGCCCGGGTCCTTAGTGAAGACCGAGGCTCTCGCCGAGCTCGGGTTCGTCTCAAATGACCAGGACGAGCCCAAGCACCGGGTCGTGCAAAGTCAGCTCGAGGAGGGCCCCTCAGGTTTTCCCCGTTCACCTCCTTAGCGAACTCGCGCTCCACTCGCAATTTGTTCCGGGGTTTCGAACTTATCTCTTGTTTTCCTTACAGGTGAAATCATGATTTCCGCAGCCGACCGGAAGAAGCTATTCAAGTCTAAGCCGCGCGGACGAAGAAACACAAGGACGTGTGTTCTACGCGGGAGGCGGCCTCGCAGAGCGGGACGAAGTCCCCATCTTCACGCTCGGTGGACTACGGGAACCCGGCCTTCGTGAAAGTGGCGTTTCCCCCAAGCCTTTGTTCTTGCACGGGGACTATGAGCCTCGCCACCGGACCGGATCAAGATTTGTTCGGCCGCCACGGAGGACCTCGCATCCACACTCATGCTTGAACTGGGCTCGGTAAGTGTTCTTCGTTCCAGCCTGGGTGCTTTTCCTGCCCGTCACTTCGATAGATTCTAACAAATTTCAGTGAAATTTCACCGTTGTTGTAGGCGGCCATGCGCATCCCAGAGCTGGTGGAGCGCTTGGAGTGGTACGTGGCGGAGAAGGTCAAGGGCAAAGAGGAGCTTCAAAGGCTATAGGGGCACGTGGCCGACCTAGAGGGGAAGCTCGCCGAGGCGGAGGAGCGGGCTCGGGCTTCGGAGTAGGCTCGTATCGCTGCTGAGGAGAAGGCGCGCCGCCTCGAGGAGGAAAGCGAGCACGCGATCGAGGCCTTCCACACCACCCCCGCGTTCGAGGAGGCGGCTCTCTCCCGCATGGACGATCTCTTGAAGATCTGGGCTCAAACTCCTGATGGCAAGCGCCTTCTCATTAAAGAGGGGCAGGCCAACTACTCCTTGGGCTTGCACCGGGCTCAAGAAGTCTTGCTAGAGCGGATCAGAGATGGCAAGGAACTCCCGAAGCCGTGTAAGAACCCTGAGGAGTTTGACTCCGCTATTTACTACTCCGAGGATGAGGACGCTACTGGCGGGGGTGAGGACACCGCCGGTAACTGAGAGCGGCTGGGCCCATTGCTGAACTCCTCCCTTCTTCATTTTCAATGTAATGTTTTCGTGTTTGAACGATGTGTTTTGCATTGCGCGACTACTATCTCCGATCCTTCATGATTTGTGATGCCTTCGTTGTTTCGCTTTGATCCTTAAATGCTTATTCCCGAGTGAATGTTGGTGAGTGAATGTCGGTTTCGCCGAAGTGTGTGGGCTCGCCTTAGCGAAGCCGTGCTCGGGCTCGTACCAGCGAGGACGTGTTCGAGACCTTCATCTGGGAAAAATATCCGGGTATGGTCTGCGCTCGGCCTTCCTCCCGAGAAGGAGCGTCGGGCGCGAGTGTTTGAGACCTTCATCCAGGAAAAACATCCGGAAACGGTTTGCACTCGGCCTTCCTTCCGAGGAGGAGCGCCGAGCGCGAGTGTTTGAGACCTTCATCCGGGGAAAACATCCAGGTATGGTCTGCGCTCGGCCTTCCATCCGAGGAGGAGCGTCGAGCACGAGCGTTTGAGACCTTCATCCGGGAAAAACATCTGGGTATGGTCTGCGCTCGGCCTTCCTTCCGAGGAGGAGCGCCGCGCGCGAGTGTTTGAGACCTTTATCCGGGAAAAACATCCGGGTATGGTCTGCGCTCAGCCTTCCTTCCGAGGAGGAGCGCCGAGCGCGAGTGTTTGAGACCTTCATCCGGGAAAAACATCCGGGTATGGTCTGCGCTCGGCCTTCCATCAGAGGAGGAGCACCGAGCGCGAGTGTTTGACCTTCCTCCGGGAAACACATCCGGTTATGGTCGGCGCTCGGCCTTCCTTCCGAGGAGGAGCGCCGAGCGCGAGTGACCATCATCCGGGAAAAACTTCCAAGAATGGTCTTAGCAGGCTCTGTTCACAAAAAACATCATTTCATTGCGTTCAATCAAAGGGTTTACGGGTTCCCTTTTGGGGCCCGTGTACATCCGTATGAAGGCCGCTTCTTGTCTTTCATGCACGAGGTGGAGCTCGGCTGCTAGGGCTTCCTCATTGTGCTCGGGGTCAAAGACCTCCTCCCGGTGGGTTGCGATGGAGATCTCTGTGGGTGCCCTTGCCTCAAATCCGTAGCATAGGGCGAAGGGAGTTTCCCCGGTTGCCCTTCGGGGCGTGGTCCGGTAGGTCCATAGGATGTAGGGCAACTCTTCTGCCCACTCCCCTCCTCAAGCTTCTAACTTCTGCTTCAGCCCGTCGACTATCGTTCGGTTGGCGTTCTCGACCTGCCCGTTTGTCTGTGGGTACCCAACCGACGCATAGCTATGCTTGATACCCCAACTTTCAAGGAAGTGGTTGAAGGGCTTGGACTCGAATTGTGTCCCATTGTCTGTGATTATGTGCTCGGGTACGCTGAAGCGGCAGATGACTTACTTTGTGAGAAACTTCTGGCATTGAGCTCCGGTGATGCTCGCCAATGGGGCTGCCTCCGCCCACTTGGTGAAGTAGTCGATGGCTACAATGACGTACCTTACGTTCCCTGTACCTCTAGGAAGCGCACCCACGAGGTCCACCCCCCACCGCGCGAACGGGATAGCTGTGCTGATGGGGGTATAGTTTGTTGAAGGCCTCCGTGGTGAAAGGTAACCATGCAAGGATAGGCAGCGGAATACAAAATTTTTAACATCCTAACATGATTATCTTGCCGAGAATCACGTACTAAAACTTATAGTAAGTAAGAATTCATACCTTTCTCCGTAAGCGGTAAAAACGAAGAAAACGTAGGAAGAGCGTTGAAAGTGCAAACGAAACCGTTCAAGCATCCGGTCTCCAACTTTGACACACGAACAACGCCGGAGTCTACCACAATCTTTATGCTAGTAAAGATTATAGTAGTATAATATATAAAGATTAAAATTTGGGATAATAATAATCTTGTATATTTCTATAGAAGATATTTCCAATAATATTTAGAAAATGTTATAGATATTTTCTATACACAAAATGATATTAATGGAACATAAAAGAAATTTTCTCTCACAAGAAAATTATGACCGAACAACACCATAAAAATTGAAATCATCATGAAAGGCTAATGGTGTGGTGTTTTAAATAAAAACAAAGATGCTCCATTATTTTTGTCATTAGCTAAATGACAAAATTAATTAGTCCACAAATTATCAATCAAGCAAATTAAAACCAATTTGTCAACCTTTAAGATGATATGGCCGAAAGTTTGATTGTAAAAAGTGAGAAGGATTCTTGAAATTTTTCTCCACTTAAATGTTCAAAGTGTATTTTATTTGACACCAAAAATTAATATAAAATTAATTTTAAATCAAATAAAATACCCATATCATTTTTAAACAAGTACTAAATATACTTCAAATAGTTTATGTCAAAATAACTATTTTCATAATTAAAATGACATACCAAAATAAAATATTCAATATATAATATATTTATATATATATTTCGGCTTTATCATATATATATTAAATATATATATATATAAACCGTATATATAATATATATTATACTCCAAAATATTTTATTTTACTAATTTTAAAATATACAAATTACTTATTATCCCATTGTTTAATCCTACTCCTTAAATTGTCCAAAGTGTGTGACCCGTATAGGCACTTATAAAGCTGGCCACAGTATTGGCTCTGCACCAATACTATAAGC